TTGAAAATGGACCCACAACCCACCAGTTGAGAACCTCTGGTTTAACTTGAAAATGCTAATCTAACTTCTTTTCTTTTGTACCCAAAACCTAGCCACTCTACATGGCTGCATGTTTAATACAGTGCAACAAATTGGAATAAAAATTACATCATTAAAACGAGAGAAAAAGAAGAAAATAGACAAATAGCCACATAAACAACTGTACCGTTTTTTTCTTTTAGTGCCCTCTTTGAAAGGACAACTCTTGGGTCAAACATGTGCACTCAAGCTATAAGCTTGGTTCGCAGAGACAGGATTTTCGGGGACAGCTTAAGGACATCAAGCTCAAGAAGAAGCTTTTGAAAAACTTCAAAAGTGTACTTCACTTTTGGTGGGTAACTCAGGTTCATGGCATAAATGATGCCCATGAGCAGGAGACAGGCCTTTGCAACACTTCCACAGTTGTCAAGTACCACAGTCCCTTCAACAACAATTGACACATCAGCGTCGGATGCACCTTCATCTTCTTCACTTGTGTGGAAGACACAGATCCTCAGGACTTGCTCAGCCTGGTCCTCTTGAGCTGCCTCTCTGTTGATATCCTGTAAAATATATGTGAATCCATGTTCAGGTGCATAGTACAACATTATTTTTTATTCAAGTTATAGACTAGTGTCAAAAATATCAATATTTCAATACCTATCAATCCTAAACATTTGAAATCATTTCACTAAGTTTAGAAATTGAGTCTTTGAATCATACAAAAATGAGGAGACTGCCAACTGAGGAGGAAAGGGGGTAGCAGGGAACTAGAGAGTGCATCCTATATGATGATGATGATGATGATGATGATGATGTTGTTGTTGTTATTTGTCTCTTTTGTGTATGCATTTGTGTTGTTAGGGTCTGGAAACATATAAGCTTTGCTTATTCCAACCCCTTTTCAAACTGCTGTAGTACTGTGTACTGTCTGCTGCGGAATTTGGTGTCTTGTGTAATTCAGTCTGAAATAAATTTTTCTGATTCTGAAAATATTCTTGTTCCACAGTACCGATAACAGCCCAAGTTTGCAATCGTTTTTACATGCACAAACAACCTGTAGTAAATCAGGACCTTATGCAGAACTCTAGTGATTCCTGAACTTAATTTCCTGTCTATCATTATTGGAAACACTGAATAATACAGATGCATGTAGCACGCAGAGATGAGAGGACAGAGGAGAAAGAGAAAATGGTAAAGGAGAGGAGAGCAGAGCAGAGAAGAGAGAATCAAGGAGAGGAGAGTGGAAGAAAGAGGAGGGGAGAGGAAAGAAGAGGAGAAAGGAGAGGGGAGGAGAGAGAAAAGAACACAGGAAAAGGGAGGAGAGAGGAGAAAAGAGAAGCGAGGAATTTCACTCCGTTTTTCATGTCAGGAATATGATTTAATTCATTGACATTTTAGATTTATTTATTATGAGATAATGAGTTAATTTAGAGACTTATAGGAATGCATTCCCACTCATGCACTTTGTAATAGGCCATATAGTTTAATTACATCTATGAAAATATCTTTTTTGTCATCTCCAACTGAAAGAACCACCAGAATGCACTTACAATAAAGACTACTAAGTGAAAGGATGCATTTTGCTTCTTTTATTTAGTTGTTATAAAAAGGCAATGATCAGCCTTAGGTATCCAATACTTATCTTAATTCTGTCAATTTTCATTTTTTTGCTTTTCAAGCATTAAACAAAATTTCATCAAGCAGGGCTTGACGCTAACTTTTTTTCCCAAGGAGCACATGTGCTCCTAAGTTGAAAAAGTGAGGAGCGTACAAAGAACTTTAGGGGCACAATGTAAATTGATCAAATAATGTGTTTTCCGTAATAAATGTGATGCAAATAGACATTTACAAGCAAAATTATTTAATGAATTTGTATACAAAATGTATAGACAGAAAGGTAAAATCATCAAGTTTTGAAAAAGTATTGCAATACAGTGTGCTGATGTTAGCCTAACTCATTAGAATATGATCATTATCTGCAGTTTTTCATTTAAGTCCAGAAAAAGTCCTCATTTGTGACCAGAAATAAATGCTGGTTGTTACAAATATGATTAGATGTGATGAATAATCTGTGCAGCACATAAGGCTGTCAACTTGAAAACCCCTGTGAATGCAACTGTGGATGGAGACAGGATAGGGGTGTTTAATGTCCAGACAAAAATAAAGCTCAAACTCGAATTTCAACAAACATCCTGCATTTGTGACAACTAATAAGGGAGGCAAATGTGGTGCTTCAAGGTTACCAGACGTCTTCCTGCCAGAGTGTATGCCGCCAAAGGATAAAAACTTCTAAGGTGCTCATGGTACCATGCCTTTTTTAGTCTGATGACAAACACTGGTTTGTTATGAACTATCATAATTTGTAGCACCTCTGCAAAGTCTGGCAACCCAGCAGTAGAACCATGGCACACCATCATTCCAGCAGCATAGGTTGTCCCTGAACAGTTTACAGAGTTGGCAATATGTACTGTTGTGACACCTGGAAATCTGCACTTCAATGCGTCTTTAATGTCATCCTTCAGAACATCCAAAGAGACCTCTGTTGTTTTTGTAACCAAGAGTGATGGTTTGACTGCATTTGATTCGTGGAGATGGTTTGCAATCATGAGCTGGTGCTTGTTTGCAAGAGAAAGCAGGATATTCCTGAAACATCCTGTGTGTCTGACAACTCTTTTAAAGAAGCTGTGCTTAGCTTCGAACCTCATGGTCCACAGAGCAGCTACAGGACCAAATTCTCGGATAAGCTGGGGATAGTGCTCAAGAAAATGGTGCTTAGGGATGAGCTTCTGTTGAGGAAAAGCTTCAAGAAGTCTGCCGCGATGTTCAGATATTACACTGTCAAGATAGCAAATGCTTTCCTCTGTATGGCTCGGTGACATAACAAGCTCCACAATGCTTTTCAAAATCATTAGCATCTGCCACGCAGGCTCATCTTCAGGTACTTTCAAACCTATGATCAGAGGCAGCGGACGTAGCAGGCACCAATTTTCATGAGCATTGCCTCCCACGGATTTACGGTTTGAAAAGTTGCCGGGGACAAGATGAGGGCGATTTGTCTTATCAGTCCACTTGTAAGGGAACTGATGGATGACATCATTTAGTTCAATGAGAGAAAAATACTTCTTCTTGATGAAGACATCAAAAGACAACGCCAATTCCAATGGAATGATGCCTTCAAGAAGGTCATGTAAGACATCTGGAGGGTATCCAGATGTAACATGAAAGTGCTCAAGCTTTTCAGACAGTGCACATTGTTTTTTCACACCATAGCACGGGGAATTATTCAGACTGGACAAAGCAGTCTGAACATGTACCGCATGTTGCTCCTCAGTTCTCTGTTGAAAAGAACCGGATCTCACCTCTCTTGACTGACACTCAGACCGCTCGGCAAGACAAAAACGGCAAGCATAAGAACCAGAAAAGCTTTCAACAAAGCCAGCAACTGAGTGAGCTCCTAGGTTGTCTGCTACCACACACGTAACAGTTCCTTTGACAACTTTTCCCAGACCTGGAACAAATAAGCCATCTCTTTCTAAAGTCCTCAGATCCGTTAGCAATGGCTCTAACACTTTCTGGTATCCAAATGTCTTGGATACCAGAAAGTGTTAGAGCCATTGTTAACACTTTCTGGTATCCAAATGTCTTGGTGTCCACTGCCTTACACAAAACTGCTAAATTAATGGATGTTAATGCTGATTGAGACTGTGCTGGAATGTTTCCCAAGATCCAATACACAGCTGTGACTTTGTGCTTTTTCCTTGAAGTTCCCAAAGGATTGCACACCTCAAAGTCATCAATGTACAGGATAAGACTAAGCCTGTCCTCTTCAGAGAAAAAATCATTCTTCTGGAAGTGGGATCCATCATGAAAAGATTGGTACTGTAAGGCTCTTGCAGAATTTCTATCAGTATCCAATAGTTTTTCTTGATTGCGTTTGTTGTTCAGAACCTGTGATAGAGATTGCAATATTGGCACATACTGGAATGTTTTGCCCTCTTTTTCATCGAGTATATACACTTTTGGTTCAACAACTGAAAAATGTTCCTTCATGAATTCTCTTCTCTTGTAGGATGTTGAAAAAGGACCATCGCTTGCCAAAGCTGAGCTTATTGGGTGTGCCTCGCTGAGAATTTTAACCAAATCAGACATTACAGCTGTGACCAACTCACAGCTATGGGTCCTTAGAGTAGACTCGATCAACTCTCTGATAACAGGAACTGATGCTGTACATGATATGAATTGAAGCTCATCCACAATTTCATCAATGCACTTGTTTGACACATTAAAGGTGCTCTCTAGCTTAAGAAAAAGGCTGCCAAACTTCTCCTTTATGATCCGAGATAGATCCTTGTCTTCCTCAATCAAAGGTTGAGGATCCTCCTCCTCAGTGTCAAATAATGGCTCATGCTGAGCAACAACTGGATATGAGTATTTTTTTAAGACTTCATCTTTAAAGTCTTCAAGGCCATGTGGAGAGTGTTTCCTATGTCTGTGAGAGGCAAAGGTGGAATATATGTTTGAGCTGAAGGTGCAGTTTTTGAATACACAGGCAACTACTTCAAATCTCCTCAAATGGCTTCCAAGATGTTCAAAATATTGCTTCTCTGAATCAAAACAAGCGGAACTGCACAGGACACAACTAAAAGATAGAATCTCTTTTGATGTCACTGCCTCAGGGTGCTGCCTGGATAAATGAATATTAAGGGCATTGAACGTTTTAAATGAACAAGGGCATTCCTTATAAAGGCAAGGCACTGTCTGGCCACGGCTAACCATTCCATGTCTTAGTCTGTAGTGTTTCAACAGTTCTGTCAGTGTGTCAGCCTCGAATCTACATGTTTTACAAGACCATTTCATCTTTTTTGAATCTGTAAAATACAGACAGAAATAAATCAAACCTCATCTGAACTAGATTTTCATATCAGTATAAACGTCAACTTAAAACTAAGAATGAGAGGTACCTAGGGTTTTAGATTTACCTTACATTAGCCGTTCAAATCAAATAGTGTAGCAGGAGAACTTTCCCGGTGGAGACTGTAAAATACAAAGAAATATAATCATTAATGCATCATGCTTAAAGTTACTTTAATGCCAGGGATAATGTAGAAACAGCATTTATTGGGCTATATTCATATCACTAGAACAGATATAACATCAGATTGTCCTTTCAAATTTTGTTCATTTTATGCAGCACAACACATAACTTCACAATCCAAAATATATTATGCTTCATTTTAATTTGGAATAGTATGTATGTTCTGTGATGATGGTAAACCTCTTACAACTTATGAAGTGCAAAGCACTACACAATATTTTTCTTTACCTGAATAGCCAGAAGGCTTTGCTTGTGACACAGCTTGCTGTAGTTGCTGCTTGAGAGGGCACTGTGTCAACTGCAGAAAGTTGTTGCTTTGGGCTTAAGGACAAAAACACAAAGAAAAAATTAAAGCTGCAAGCAGCATTTGGTGGGACCTCGCACTCGTGCCTGTTTCGGCCCCCAGCTTATGTCGCCACTGTGAATTATTTAGAAATATCAAACATGTTGCCACAAACATCAGAAAATCCTTACAGAGCTGAACGTTGTGATGTTTGAATGCTTTCTGTAGCTGTTGGTATGGATAAGTGATGTCACGATATGCAAATTAGATGAGTGAATTTATTCCCATCAGATTCCTCGTCCTTTATTTTGAGGAAGAGACAACAAAAACAACACAAAACAAAATAAATTTACTGTGTAAATATGTTCAAAATGTTGTTTTACTGAGATGTATGAAATCCAATATGGCTGCCCCCTAATGACACCATAATATGCAAATTAGATAAGTTAATTTACTCCCATGACAAACTTTGGGTCATGATGAATAGTTTTCTCATTTACAGTATGCCTTTATCTCTCACCACTTTCAAGCCACAGCCTTTTGAAATGTTGAAATGAAAATGGAATATTTTCCTCAATAAAGTCTGGCACCTAAAGGGTTAAAATGGAGATTGTGCCCCTGTCATGTCTGCATGTAA